ATTATACAGTTTGACTATGTTAGTAAACTGTCCAGAATAAGCAAATAGCAAAGTTTAAAGTCAGAGATCTAGCATCATGAACATTGATATATTGCTGAATATTTCATAAATAAAAGCATTTATCAAATGCGCGGTTTTAGCTTTTTTTGTCACAAGGATTTTATACTTATATATTAGGACTGTACTTAAATTAGGCAGTATAAGATTGATACCGTGTAATACTAATGATTACGAGTTTGTTATAGACTTTGTTCTTTATTTACTACAAAAAATAAGGTGTAATTGTTTTGTACAAAAATATAGATAGTTTTCAACTATAATAAGTTGTTAATATTTTTTTTCATCATTTAAAAGTAAAAAAAAATTTTATTTTTTTACAAATTTTTCTAGTACAAAATAGAATTTAAAAGAAGTTAACATTATCCTTAGTCATTTATTGCATTTTTCATCGCTAAAAATAAATAGTTAACATTATTTTCAAGTCTTGCATGACCCTACTATTATAAAACACTTGTTACATGAGTGCATGTTACTAAAGTATGAACATCAGTTTTTCATGCACAATAGTAACCTTTAATTGCTGCAGTAGCAGTGTAGAGCTTAGTAAAAGCACTGCGACAGCAGCATGGTCTACAGCCTGGAGCGTGAATGAAGGAATGAACACCTGCCTCAATTTTTGACCACGCACTGCATTCATGGCATGGAAAATGCACATCCTGCTATCAGACTGCATTATCTGTGCGTGTACCAGGACTACAACATGCGCTAACGCAAGATACTGTGTGTGCTGTAAACAGCTGTCCATAACCTCTCTTCTTCAATGGAATGTTTTAACTTATACAATATATAACGCGTTAGCTGGAAATTGCGGCTAACATGCATGATTATTACTTTTGCTTACTAAGGCACTTTTACCGTGATGTTATTCGAGAGGGGATCAGGTTATTAAAGGTAATGCGTAGCGCTCAATGCAGCTACAGGTAGTATCATATAGCTATCAGAGTTAGACGTCCCTTTTTCTGTATCAGGACGCATTCCCTGATACCACGAACACTGAGGCACTACTCTGTTGTAGCTGCACTCAGCGCTGCCAAAAATGAGATAAAACAACAAGACAATGTATAAATAGTAAATGTTTATGCATCTACATCAAAAACAGCTACTTAAATTACAACTTCGACGCTGCACA